TTATTTTTTAAGATAATATATTTTTTAATTATAAATTAATGTACAAAAAATATTATAATCACTTAATGTTGTTAAAGGTAAAAAAACAAAATTGAAATTTATTAGATAATTATTAATTAAAAAATGTGACCACAAATTAAAAAATTAAAATTGATAAATTTGTCAATAAAATTAAAAAATTTTAATTCGTTAACGGTTTGGTACAAAAAGTTACATAAACTATCTTTTTCGATCCGCTAGCGATTTGGACCCTAACTGTTATCCCTTAGTCTCAAATCGCTAAATAAGAATTTTACCAAATACTTTATTTATAGCAGTTTCAAAATATATAAATTTATCAAACACCTATATTTAACGGTTTAAGTAAAACCGTTAACCGTTATCTTAAAACCGCTATACCAAACGGGGTCTTAATGACATAACATAATATATAAATATCCATATCTCGGAAAACAAAAAAAAAATCAATCATTAAATTAATGAGATTAGTGTCTATCAGTTTTAACTCTAAAAAATAATTGAAATTTCAATCTACATCTAGAAACTAAAATATTATCTCATTAAATGTTGATATCTAAATTTAAAAATTTATTATATATTCTAACATATTAACATTTAATAAGATAATTTTTTAAAATTTGAATTGAATTTTAATTAAATAAAACAACATAATTTAAGATTGAAACTCGAATTATTTTTTAAAATCAGAATTTATATACACTTTTTTCATATAAAGTTTATTTTTTAATAATTTAAATACTATGATATATACTATGTGTTGGGATTAGGCCCAAAACCCGCTCCGGACCAAATGCAGCAAGCCCAGTTATATGCTCACAAGCCTAAGATAAGGAGACACATTCACGTGGATAGTAACACGTGGGCCAATTGGATGAATACACGTCTGACCTCATGTCAGTATATGGGGTTATAAATACCCCCAATTACCTCCATGGAAGGTATTAACTTTACTATGCTTTTTTCTTTACAATTACTATTTGAGAACATCTCTTTTAGAATATTGAGTATTGCTAACTTGAGCGTCGGAGTATTTTCTCCGAAAAAACATCATCAGAAATTTCAAGTGTTGAAGCAGTTGGAGATATTTACGGTATTGAGTCTCGAAGCTGTTCAAAACACTATGATGTCAATTTTAAATTTTAGTTTTATTTACCATTATTCTTTCTCGGTTGATGACGAGTTTCTATTAAGATCAATTCCCAAAAAATCACGGATTGTGCTACTTGAATGGTATTTGGAATCTATTTCCTATAGACGAGCCAGTTATTTTTGAAAGTGGGAAGAGAAACTTTAAGAAACAATATTATTTTAGGAGGAAGTGAGGCACTGCGCTTGTGGAACGGTGTTTACTTTGACCTCCGGTAAGTTTTATCATAGAAACTTCATGGTAGCTTTAGGTTTTTTCGGGGTTAACTTGTTATTATTAGAACCATAGAAATAATAACCTCTTATGGGATTAGGTGGGATTTAGAGGCAGTCATATAGTGCTTTGCTATAACTAGTACTCTGTTATACTCCTATAATACTCTTGTTTTGATAATGATATTTGCTTTTTCATTAAAAAAATCATATAACTTAATAACTAAAAATTTATTAACTATACTTTAAATCACATATTAAAAAAATTTTAAAAGAAATTAGATTTATGGTGCATTTGAAATTGTTATGAGATGTTGTAGTTGTAATTATAAATGTATTGAATTATATTATATTGTAACTATGGTTGAAAATTATTTTAGTATTTAATTAATTAATTTTTAAAAATATTATCTATGAAATATGATAAATTTGATCAATTATTAATTAAAATTTTAAAAATATTTTATAATGTTATCTTACTAAAATAGATAACATTTATTATTTCTTAATAATTTAAGTTTTTAAGGTTTCTTAAAATGGTTATTTTTTTGGGTTTCATGGGAGAGCAATTCATAAGAAGAGAATAAGTTTTTAATTTTTTATGAAATCTTCCAATAAATGAGAGGTTAAATTAAAATAAAATATTATAAATTATGATGTAATTGAATTTAACGAGATTAAATTTTAATGGATAATTTTGTATTGTATTAAATATTATGTGCTATCGATAAAAGTTATAATTAGAAAGTTTTAAATTAAGGTTTTTTAGTTTTATATGTAAAATTATTGTAAATTTACAATGATTTTTTGTAATTTTTAGAAAAAAATAATCTAAAAAAATTACTAAATACACATACACACACACATATATATATATATATATCCAAAAATACTATACTCAATTACAAGAAAAAACCCTAACTTAAATTTCAAATGCATCTTTAATCTATTAAGGTTGATTCAAATAGTTAAATAATTATATAAGTTATGTTTAAGATG